GGAGGAGGAGGAGGAGGAGGAGGAGGAGGAGGAGGAAGAGGTTCTTTGAGACAACTATGGCCTGGATGACTGAGAATCTCCATGGACATCATGCTACGCTTGTAGCATAGGCTAAAGAGAGAGATTTTTCAAATCTCTGCCTCACAGATCCCAAGAGTCACAAACAGTTTCAGAGAAGCTGGCAAGGCTTTTGCAATCAACAGTCGACCAAGAAAAAGCAGAGATTAAAAAAATGGGAAAGTTGAAAATAAATAAGTCGTTCAAGCGATTTCCCCAAAATCAGCCAAAGGGAAAAACCCGAGAAGCAAACCGTACTTTTTATTCCGGAATAACGCAAAGATAGGCCACTTGGAAAAACGCTTTGGGCCGAGTCCCGAGCAGGTGGACATTTGCAACAAATAATTAATGACCCTTCTCTGCCAGGCGGTCAGCAGCCATTGATTAGGTGGCCGAATCCTGGCCCTTGTGAATTCCAAACAGAAATTCACGGCTTTGTGATTTATTAGCAGGCTGCCAATTGACTCACCTGTCTCAGGAGCCTAAGGGATGTATGCTTATTAAAAATCTTTACAGCTACTTCTTCGCCGACGTAAACCGCGCGGTACACGGATCCGAATCCGCCATCGCCTTTTTGATAGAAAACATGAGACAAGATTAAAAGAGTCGGTAACGTTCCCTGAATTTATAGGAGGATAATTACATATGTAATGAAACACCGTTTCGGCGTATTCCAGGGGTCTTCAAACTTGGCCCTTTTCTGACTTGTGGACTTCAACTCCCAGAATTCCTCAGCCAGGCGCGCCTGGCTGAGGAATTCTGGGAGTTGAAGTCCACAAGTCAGAAAAGGGCCAAGTTTGAAGACCCCTGGCGTATTCTAAGTTAAGAAATCATACCGTCGCTGAAATAATTAATTTTTAATTTGACAGAATTCCCTTCAAACCAGCAAGGATGGATTTGTTAAACATACTGGATAACAGGAGAGAGTTGGAAGGGACCTTGGAGGTCTTCTAGCCCAACCCCCCCTATTCAGGTAGAAGATTATAACATTCCTTCCAACATTGTTGTGTTATACTAACCAGCATTCAACTAGGGAGGATGTTCTGTGTATGTGTGTTAGGGGTTTTTTAAGACACTTTTTGGGTCAATGTCTTTTTTTGTTTTGTTGTTATTTTTAAATATTTTGGCGTTCTTGTATTTTAATCTTCTTTGAATAAACTAAAATTGTTCAAAATGAAAAAAAAAATGTAAAAAATAAAAACAAAGGAACAAATAAATATAGCCAACAAAACTTTCCGAATTCTCGGTTCTAAGCACAGGTTGCAACTGTCAGCACTAATCCATCTGCAAATTAAGGCAAAAATGCATGCTAGGTATCTTATTCAACCATGCATGAAGATAGACTGGAAGAAATAGTATGATGAAATTACACAAAACTTTCGTATCCATATTGAGGGCATCCCAAAAGAATTCTACGTTACCTACCGAATGAAATTCCTAACTTCGTACAATATTTCTAACAATACCAGTTAGATTAAAATATTGGCAACAGCACTGGCACACAGACTTATCTACAGCTTTGTAAGTCTTTACAGCCCTCTCTAAGCGGTTTACAGAGTCAGCAGCTTTCCCCCAACAATCTGGGTCCTCCTTTTACCGATCTTGGAAGGACGGAAGGCTGAGTCAACCTTGAGCCCCATCAGGATCGAACTCCAGGTGGTGGGCAGAGTTTGCCTGCAATACTCCATTCTCACCACTGCGCTATCACAGGTTAAATAACAATAGCAATAGGACTTAGACTTGTATACCGCTTCA